AAACGGGCAACATAGAGTCGGATGATTTACAAATAGTTAAAGCCACAATATACCTTCAGTTGTAACTAATCACTGGAAAATAAATGTTATGTTGCCCGTTTTGTCGTTTTCACTCTGAAACATGTCTAGGATAAATTTGATTCGACGACCTGCTAATGCAGCTAGTAAATTGGATATATAGATAACTTTATTATGTGGTGTGTTACAACGTAAATTGAAAATTTAATATTATTAGGAAATTCCAAGCATAGTTTTTTAAACTTCAAAGATACTACATTTATATTACTTCATTAATATAAAGCGACATTGTTCACAATAAAAGATATTTACCTATTGCAAAATCATATAAGCATATATGTCGAATTTATAAATGTAATTTGTGACTGTGAACTTCATATTTGGTAATCTTCCGGTTGGGAAGTCAACGTTCAATGTATTTAGTTGGTATTATTATTAAGTGCTATGTGTTAACAAGTACACACTTGTATATCTAACATCAAAAGCAGTAGTTTTACTAAGGTACAGTGTTTTAACTTATATTTAACTCATATAGGTAGTAGTTAAGAAGGACGTAATAATCAATTATATATGTACGTTTAAGTATGTAAACTTTACATTGTTGTGATGCGCATGTTTGAAATTCCGTATTACAATACCTATTGTATATATATTACCTCTATACGGAGGCCGTTAAGTTAATAGGAGCATAATATTCTGCAACACTTGTGTAACATTTTTTACATATTTATCCACTGAGTGGATATCGCAGGCAATGCCGTATCAAATACTCTTGTGTAATGTAATGAACTTTCGCACATCACTGACTCTTCCTGTATAGGCTATTGAGCTTATCTACTATGCTATTATTATGACATTAGCAATCTCCGTAGTTATTTCGAATTTATTAACTGAAAACATTTGATTACTAGAAAAATATAAAATACATAACTTCTACAAATCATAAGTGAGTAAGGCAGAGACAGTAAGACATAAATTTTAAGAGAAAGCAAAGTTAGTTCTCTAATCTTCAAGGGTAATTTAATACCATTTGCCTATAACCTATTGTTGTTAACTGTTCATGGGTGTTTATTAATGTTAAGAAATAAATTACAAAATTACATTTCATTTGTGACCTTGATATATACAAGCTAGTGTCATTTATGTGATTGTTATGGTGTTTATTGTTACAAGACACGAAAATATTTGACAGGGTTTTGGTAATTTCCAATAAGATATAATGCTATATTTATTATATAAAGTCGTTTGGATATATATAACTGATTATCGAATAGTGGGTCTCACATAATATATACGTTATTTTTAAAGACGATGATTAAGATTTATTTCAACAAATAGGTTAATATTAAATTTATTTTATTAATCTCTTAGATTCGAGAAAGTAAAGTTAAATCAGTAATTTAATGAAAAGTTTTTAGAATAACTGTTATTCTAAAAAACTTTTAATTACATTACTGATATTACCTATCTAAAACATAGACCACGCGTACAAACCTGCGTACTTCAAAAAATACATTTTAAAATTAGGGATGCAACATCGTTCTGATAAAAATCGATTTTTTAAAACATCGATGTTTACTTGAAAAACTTCGATTTAAATATATATAGTTAATAAGAGCGATCTATCGATGTTTTTACCGATGTCTTATTTTTTTAATAAGGATACTTTATTAAATAACCCTAACATTAACAAATTTGATTACATTAAATACATACACTACAAAACCTGACGAAAAAACAAACCAACATAACCTAACTTGGGGTTTCACAAACATTTTTTTTTTTATAAACCACGGATAGGTATAGGGGTATCCCTATACCTATCCGTGGTTTATAAAAATAAAAGTCTTGTGAGTACATACATATACAAAATAAAATAGTTATTAGTGCTATAGAATAATATTGTTACTTGTAAAAAGACGAAAATACCATTAATTTATGACAATACTATATATATATATATATATATATATGTATATATATAATTAAGGTAGATTACTCACAAGGAAGATAATTGCATTACTTAAGAATTATTAAATATATTTTAGAAATATCCATATTTTTTAAATAGAAATTCAAAAAGATTATTAATAAAGATATATTTTTCACAATTCAAATTTTAGCGGCTGATTAATAAGATATATTACAACACCATGGACCATACCAATTCACCGTACTCCATTTAGTTCTTTTTTTTTTAATATACCTACTTGTCTAAATTTTTTATATAATTCATAATATTTTATATAATTTTTTTTTGACGAAAGAAAGGTAACGTTTTATGAGACATTGACGCTCGGGTACCTTTATGCAATTTCTGCTTAATATAAATAAACAATAAAAAAGTGTCATTAAAACAATCAGTAAATGCCATTAGTTAAACACTTTCACTATTTCTTGTCGCGTCTCCCACATTTATTACATGGTAACATTTTAATAACAGACTTCAGTTTCCTGTCATTCTGTAGCGGATGGACTATGAGAAAAATAGAAATTAAATGTTGCAAACGTTAATTTTGCGAATCAATTTACGCAACGGTTGTTTCAGCGGGTCGTAGCGTGAGAAGCACTTAACAAAAATATACTTGTTTTTAATTATATTATAAAACCCTGAGGACGTATTTATATAATATAATAACATACGTAGTAATGACAGTTTCCTTTGAATTCTTTTTGTATTCATTATCAAAGGAAGATACAGAGAGGCTTCAAAATCATAACGCTAACCCCGTATAATATTTTAGATGTACATTAAGAACCAATTCTAGGAAAATGACTTGTATTAATGTAAATAATTATTTGTTTTTATAATATCTTCGACATCTAATGATATGAATTATTCGATTTCGAAAATATTATAAAAAATATTGACTTTTATTTCAATGACAATAATCTTCCTTATTAAAGTATCGATACCAGCGATACCAATTTTTTTTTCTATAATAATTATATTTCTTAACTTAACAATATTGGCTATTTGTTAAAATAGAAAACAAAATATCAACATACTTATACATAAGATGTAAGAATTACGAATGTTTATATTTGCATAAATTTTAAAAGATAAACCTTCAAATGCAACAGATAAACACTTGACCTGAATGACTGTACAGTAGTAGAGTATTGTCCATGTAAACTTTATGGTGTTAAAAATTTGTACATCTGTGACTTTACTTTCTCGAAACCAAGAGTCTGGTTCATTCTGTGTAATGCATATTTTCAGATGTGTGTATGTTTACAATATTTTATGTATTTTCGAAGGTTCCAGTGATTAGAAAGCGATGCATTTTGCAAGCGACTCGACGGGCCCCGGGGGCTTGCCTAATGCGCACGTGCCCCGCGTATCTAGTGGACACAACAAGGTACGCGACAAAGAGTGGTATTGTGTAATGTACTGATAGCATGGACGTATCTGATACTGATCAGTATCTTCAAATAACTGGTTATTTGAAGTGTGTAACTCTTTGGCCGATCAACCCGCGATACAAATCGCTGAAGTTACAGACTTTTATTGCAGCATCATTAAATTTTTTTTTCATAAATTCCTTATGATTGACAGATAATTGGTAAAGCCGAGGGAAATAAGATAAAAATTGAATGCAGCAAATGTTGAGTCATAAAATTACGAGTACGAATAACATAGGCAGACAAGACGGTGTGTTAAAGGCCGTCATTACACACTTCTCTTGCTTCATCTACTTTCATAACTCGTCTCATGCATACACACCGATGTAGGAGACTGTTAACTTCTTTTTCAGACAACATGGAATAGTTATATACTTAATATGCAATTCAGTACACCGTTGTTCAGTAGTGTTTTGTCGATAGCAAGGTAGGTTAATATGTTATAAATCTGAAATTTATAGATGGAATATTGATATAAAACTCTTGTAAATTATTTTTTAGAGGGATTTGCCATCAGGGAAATGGGAGCCTTAAAAAACATTAAAATATATAATTATAGGAATAATATAAAGGATTGGAAATAATCATAAAGGACATACTAATATAGTTGCATGATATCCATAAGTAAATCTGACATATTTAGTAGTTAAGGAAGAAAGTATAAAGAATGTGTAAAGCTCTTCGACCTTTAAATAAGTACCTATACTTTTTATCGTTTATGTTATTAAAAGAAATTAGTTCTCAGGGAGGAGGCTTTTTCTCTTGCCAAAGATCTAAATTAGAAAAGAAAGTAAAGTAGCATAAAGATGAAGTAAAAATTATATTATATAATTTTTATAAATAATTGAGATGACTTAGCATAATCGGCTTTTTGTTTGTTATTTAATTTTTTGTGATGTAAAAAATATATTAATTTTGGTGTGCTAAAATAGAATGCAAGCCGTAATGGGTAGTTTTTAACGGTTACGTATTTACTGAGCAACAAACGGTTGCGCTGTTGCACGGACGCGAGTTTTTGCGTTATTCGCCTATGAGTTATACAGACGGAAGCGTTTCCTGAAATTGTAGTAAATATCATATGCCTTTGTATTTGTTCTTACACCTATGACATTGGATCATTATGTATTATTTTTGCATGTTATTTAAAGATACTCGTAGATCATCATTTTATTTATTCTTAGTCTTAATTATTACTAAAATAGTAAACTGATTAAGAATACATTTTAATGTTTCATAAGGTTTTCACAATCAATTTTATGTTACTTTGAAATCGTATCTTTTCGTACAGTCGAAAAAAATGTTATTAGGTAAAACTAAAAGCGTGCATATAGTTCTACGCGCGGCGTAGATGCTACAGTTTTTGATAGGTTGCACATATCTTTTGCAAGACGCGCCAGTTTCATATTTAATTCATTATGTTCGAGAATGATCCAAATCGTTGCTATATTACTGGTCACCTGCCATGAACGTGTAAAACGTTATGCGCGGTTATAAACCGGGTTTGTTTTTGTAGAACCTGCTACCTAGTAGCAAGAAGTTACGATATACATTCCAATCAAATACATTTTCTAACTTACCTAAGTTATTGACATCAGATTTTGAACGACTCCCTTGCACCCTTGACTTATATTTAACTAAAAAACACTTCTGATAACGTTTTAAATAACAGAGCACCCACATAAATAATCACGGCCAATATGAAACCTGCTATTGATTTTAAAATAAAACATATATTGTAAGCATTAAGAATTTTAAGTGCACATTTCGAATGGAAATGGATTTAAATATGATAACGTAATATCGGAACGTTGCCGAGTGTTATAAGTACGGATTGGTAGCACGCGCGTGTGCAACTTGGGAAAGTACTCCGTGGACTGTCTTGATCGGTTTAGTACCGCGCCAACGACGCAGACCGGCCGCAGACGCAGCACACTTTCATTATAACCTGCTGGTGCACTCTAATCTAACTTTGAGTAAGTAATTATTTCATTAAATTATATAAGCGATTTGCAGTCCAAAAAGTCGGAATGCTTGCTTCAGTCAAAACCGTTAGAGAGAGGGGAGGAGAAATTATAGAAGAATATAATAAGAAATTGTAGAAATTATAACAAGTGCTAACTCTTTACCCCTGCCTTCGTATGCTTTTTTGAGGAAAAACATAGCTTGTGGTCGCCTATATGACATACAAGGAATCTTTCTTCACGTCAAATTTCACATGATTCGTAATTCTGAAACACACAGACAGACAAACGTTTACATTTATACTATTAGCGTGAATTTTGAATATATTTATAAAATGTTAAGAGAAAGGATACCTATGGGCTATATGTACTTACCTACCTACCTATTTGTTTTCTGCGAAATGACTCTCACAACAAAATCAAGTATTTATTCCGCGTATAAACATAGGTGATATAATGTTTTTATTTCCTGCTATAGAAATAAAAATGATGTGAAGGTGTAGACAAAGGAATGTGTGTGAACGAGAATATATATAATAATTGATATCTACATTTATTGTTATTTTGTCTTTGAACTACAATAATATATAAAACTGTTAGTCATTACTATGGGAGGTAAGTAGAGCGTAAAACCTACCAAACAAAGACTCTATGGCCCTGACATAGAAATGCGGCAGAGTAACTATTAGAATATAAGAATTTTATTCTAACTTTACTTATAGTTATTACTAACTAGGCCACAATTCTATTAAATCTTATTTGTATTTGGCTAACTCGCCCAAATCATGTGTCACATGTTCCTCATTTTTACATTTTACATAGCAGCTTAGATCCAATAGTGATAACGTGGTATTATATGGCCTATAGCCTGATTCTACTAATGGGCTGTCCAACACTAAAATAATTTTAAAAATCGGATCAATAGTATTGGTAATTACCTTGAACATCCAAACTCACAAATTTTACCTCTATATAATATTAGTATAGATAAATATATTTATTTAATAATATTATTTATTGCAATCGTACAAAATTTGTTACAAAATGTAGTTTTACCTACACATTATACATATTTTGGTGTCATCATAGTACAATTATGAATAGTGAATGTTGAACAACTAGCAGGTATAGCACGCCGCGCCGCCTCTCTTTCCCATGGTCGCGGGTTCGCTCACCGCACAATACAAACATTTGTATGATGAGTATTTCTTTGCAGTTTATGTATGTATGTATATATATATATAAACATAGTATTTTGCATTAGTTATGTAGTACTATGTAATATAATGTATGTTAGTAGTATATCAAATACTAATTATAATATATTATCATATACTTTATACAATTTTATAATTATACCGCACCTAATATATCACTTGTCACCTTCTGTACTAAATAATTTAGAAAAGGTGGAGGGCCAAGACTTTGCCTGTTACAAATTTCTGAATACAGACTTCCTCTATAAATGTCTCATATGTTTATATAAAACATTACAAACCTCTCTCTTGTCGTTATTCTTCATAATAGTCATATATTTACATGGTATCTATTTTCGCAATACCTATATCAAAGATACTTAATAGGTGCTATAAATAAATGTTACAATGTTCAAATACATTTACAGAAATAAGTTTTATATCGTAAAAATAATGTCATCTGTCATACCATTTAACACAATATTCGAAAAACGGCACCGATTTGTCTTTAATAGCCTTCTTTATGCAATAACTTTATATATAGGTAGGTACTTACTAAGAATTGTGATTTTAGGTCATTTGTTCTAGGTGTAATGAGGTCTTTTCCTATTTTGTAACTTGATCAGATGCGCTGCAATGAGGATTATATCACAACGTTTACTAGATGTAGTGAATGTGGAATTACGACAGACATTGATTGCTTGTTCTATATACCATAGATATGTTTATTATATCGCTCATTATTATAAAGATATAAGGAGTAGATACGTAAACTAATAATTAAGTTTAATAGAGTTATGTAGTACGTTATAACCAGTGCCGGATTAGCTTAGTTCCAAGAGAAGCAAATACTATGGGCCCCGTGTAGTAGGGGGCCTCGCGCACTCACTACCTTCTAAATATAAACTACAATAAAAAAGACTAAGTATTTTTTAAATTTGTAAAGGATAAACGAAGCCTAAGATTTGTTATTTGTGAGAGTTGATTTTTTAACTCTAACTTAAGAAACTAATCCTAACTATAGGCCTATTGAAATAATTTTCTACAGGCCCCGCGCTTGCCTAATCTGGCACTGCGTATAACGGTAGTTGCAAGCAAAATGAAGCAAGACTGTAATCACATACGACTGAAAGCTTTTCTCCTTTCTATTAGACACATACTATAACAGAACTTGGATTAGGTCTGTACGTTTATATATATGCACTTTAGTGAGTAGTTAGTTTTAGACGTGAAGTGCGTGATTTTATTAATCCTAAATTATCACTGAATGACTTTTTGTACTTTTATAGTTACTCACGCAATGGTGACAACAACAACAAAGGACAACAACGCTTTGCTCCCACGTTTTATTTTGCTATATTTGCATTGAGAAATTGAGACAACTTCGCAATAACTTATTTCTTATATGTAGTCTCGCAATAGTAACAATAGTATAAAAAAAAATAATGAATAAGTAACAATAATAACGTTTGACCATATCAATATATGTAAGACTTATTATTCATGTAGTATAAATAATTTAATAATAGTATATAACATAACATGTCACGAACTTTAATACATATTTTTTTAAGTATAGGAGCCAACAGAAAATCAGCGCAGCAGATTTATCTGTAGCTTTATGTTGAGTTGGTTGGTATTCTTGTACCTTTGCTACACATAAAGGCACCTCCATTTATTTTATTTGTATATTTTAAAGAGATGGACGGACTTTGTGAAAGATGATATGGTAAGAAGGGAAGTAAATAACGCGATGACTGCGAACAGGGATGAATTGAAGAGACATACATATTACGCCGATCCCAAATAAATGGGATAAGGAAGAAGCAGATGATGATTTATTTTTTCTGTACCTCATATAAATGGTGAATTTATATATATACCTAACACTACATCTTTAAAATTATTTCTAACTAATCTTATTAGAAGACGATAGAAACAAGTTAATTAGCTATGATTCTCGTAATAATGCAGACAAGTGCCACTCATGTATGTGCATTCTAATCCTTGGAAAGTGTTGACGTAAGCATATGGTTAATATCTATTTAAGAATCATTAACCAATCCAATCAAAACAATGTTTCTCATAGTAGTTTTGTTAGATTTTCCAGTTTTCGAAAGGTTTTTCCAGTTTTATATTAGAAAATAAAACATTATTAATTAAACAACGAAATTGGGCCAAAATTTAGTGATTGCTAGCAATTTAAAAATTGAGTTTACACTGTCACCTCTTAGTGCAGATGGCTCTACCTAACAACGTACACACGAAGTAAAATTACACTCTGTGGAATATTAAATGTATATTTGATACTATCACAACTGTGTCGATTGCTACAATAGCTCTAGGGATATTTAACGGTATATAATATTAGAAATGTTTAGAATATTATGGGTTAGCATTGTGGGTAAGCATTACCATTATTCCAAAAAGTCAATAACCTCAAACTTCAGGGCATTGTATTCTTGTCTCAGATAAAATGATATATAGGATGTAGGTACGAATAGTACGTACATATTAGGTACAACAATAATGTAATGGGAAATATATATGTGTTCTTAATGTTAATATATTTTTCGTACAAAAACATACCAGTTATTACGTATACTTCTATAAAATATTAAAAATAAAAAGTAGCTGTTACAGCTTCAATCAAAGTATACTATAAGGGTTCAAAGAACTGTGTTAGAACCCAATTAATAAATACTAATATAATAAACAAATTATAGTATAATATTCCTTTATTAAATATATATATATAGAAATACTAAGCCCTGTAACAATAATGTTGATAATTTAGCACATTATCTACCGTTATCATTAAGGGCAAGCTTGCCTTGAGTTTCGTCATGGCTGGTGTCTTGTTCCGTTTACGTTAGCTCATATGACATCCTGGGGATGAATAGGAGTGCTGATAGTATTTACTTATTCATACCTTTATTAGACAGAGCATTATAACCATTCCTACATGAATCATCGTCAGTTTCGTACACACAGCAAATAATTCGGCAATATTTACTATTCACTACATTATTATGTACTTACCTATTTAATGCTATGCTATAAAAATAGTGAAGTTCAAATATGTAACCGACTATGTAACTTTAAAATATTGGCTTAGTTACGTAGAGAACCGATGTGCCAAGGCCGAACGAGCATTAACGAATTGTTTGAAATCGTATTGATTCGAAGTTTGTAATTTGGTGCAAATAAAATCAATTAAAAAAAAATTCTGTTAACCCATAGATATATGTCTATAAAAGAATTTCGAAATCGCATGCACTTTGTTAAATATATCTTACTGAATATATCGTCTAACAGTTGCATTAAATTTCCGATAAATGTATCTACGATAAATTTATATGCAACAATGTTTAGAGCATTAGAGCATTGACTACCATTAGGTACATAATACTCAAAAATGATCAATTTTATAATAGGTCATAATATGTCATACTATATTCTCCTGCGCAAACGCTGGCGATGCTCCTGTGGAAATTAATGCTGAAGTCAAGTTTCTCGAGTCTAAAAGATCTCTCTTGGAAACCATCGCCGTTGCTGGTGTTTTCATCAGGATAGGCTAACTGATCTTAACTCATGCTTATTCTATCATCCTCCACTAGTGCCCTTGCATCGTATAACGTTAGCGTAGTTAGGGCAGGGCAGGATGATAATATCGTGAAAAATTCACTAGGAATTTCTCTATTGATTTCCAGGGGCAGCCGCGTGGGACTAACCGGCTTAACCTGACCTGGTACATTGCTAACAAACCTCAACAGGCCACACTACTAACAAATCCCTTTCTTTAAATTTCAGACTAGATATTTGTAAAATAACGGGTAGGTACCTAGTTAAAAGATAATGTTTGCGGAGTATACTGTAGTTTGTACTATGTGTAATGTTTAAGTAAGGCCAGTCTGTAGCCCTAAGTAAGCTTAACAAATGTTTACAGATTTTATCAAAATGAAGTGGTAAGTTACACCACTATAGGTACAAAGGTAGTATATAGGTAGTAGGTGCATATGATAGTTACTTATAATATGATAGCTTCTTACCATATGCACCTACATTCCATGTGGCCGCAACCAACTTCTGCGCCTGACATCAATTACCAGCAACCTAAATTTAACCTCTAAATGTTGTGGTACTACAAGTCTATATAAACTAATAACACTGAACATGAACAATAAAAAGGAAATTATCTGTAAAGAATCAATAAAGTTTATCAATCTTAACACGTCATGAAAACATCAATGGAGGTGTATAGCTTTATTTAACATAAAATTATTCGTGTTGAGTGTTTAGATTTAGGTTTAGTTCGTGTTGTTGTTAGATAACGGGTGCCATCTCTATTTAATAAGGTTGATCATTCGATGAGAGTTCAAATGCGATGCATTGATCACTGACTGATTGTCAACCAGCATTAAGTCATCTTATTTAAAAGAAAGAAGATAAAATGTAATATATTTTTTGTTCATTATATTCTTCTTTTGAATAAGTAGATAGGTATATATATTTAACTCTGGTAACGTAAATACATCGTGTCTACATTGTTTATTTGAAAATATGTAACGTATAACTAAAAATGATTACGACACTAGCTTTTTTGTGTTACCTTATAACATGGTGGTGCCACCTTCAATGTGATTCACGCTATGCATGCTGAGATCTCTTTTTAGTGCTAATCGGATATGGATGATTCTATTGTTTTTTGTTCTGTTCATCCCTTACAGGAAAGGCAAAAGGAATTCTGTTTATACAGTCTGCATATTTTTGATATTCTTAATTTTCTTTGTTTATTTTAATGCATTATCAATCTTGGAATCTCAGTATTATTAATATATATATATAAATTTTTTTCTTGCATCACTCTTTGTAGACAGCGGCAGCATCTTTATTTTATACCTTGTAAAGATGTCCTGAATTATCGAGGTAATTAATCGTAGATTACGTAGAGTGCAAAATATGTTATTGAGTTTTTAATAATTCATTAACGGAATATATAGATTTCTGGTATATGGTAGATTAGAGTCATTCTGACAGAAGAGCTCGTTGTATAGAACAACTATGAGACAAAAAATATGTCTTCCAATAATTCAGAATTTAGACTCTGTTTGTTTGTCCATTTGCTTTTTTTTTGGCCCTTCCGATAAAGGATATATTTCGATATAGGTATCCTATATCGAAAGGCAAAGGGATCTATTTGCATTTAATTCGTTGCTGTCAACATCACGTCATGGATGAAGTTGTCAAAATTGACATTCCTTTCATGTTAATCTGTAATAATTCCTGCTTATCTGTGATTTTAATTACTTTCATTTTATTACAATATTATTCGAATTCAAAATCCTAAAATCGATAAATATATTAGTAAGTTTTATTACAATTATTAAAAAAAGATTAAATTAAATATTTCAAAGGTATATAATTCATTAAGATAAATTATTTCATTATTAGTTTCTTTTAGAGGTTAGAAGTAGAAACTAGTATTTATTGTACCTACTTTATTATTTCTCTATTTACGTAGCAATCTTAGTATTATTTGAATTATTCAATTTACAGTTACAGTTGGCAGTGGTAGCATTATTTCTTAAATGTTTGTTTTACTGTCTTGGTTGGTAATATATTCAATGAAGTAGTCTTATGTTGTAAATAATTGCTTTATTTTCTGTTTAACCTACTAATTACTTACTTATTTAAAACACAATTTGTAGTCGGTGAATGGGGATCTTGTAAAATGTTGGAGTTTCAATCCCTGGTGCTGGCAGCTGGCAGAGGTTCCCGTTTACCAGATGTTGGTGGGACAGTTTCGAAGTGCCTGCTGCCAGTTGGACCCTACCCTGTGTTGTGGTACTCCCTAAATATGCTGGAGAAGATGGGATTTCAAGGTGAGCTGGTACATATATACTTATACTTACTACTTAGTTATAGACATTATTATTTGGTTTGAGACATGTATACTAATTATGCATTTTAATTATATGGGAAAAAAACAAAGTAATAAGGAAGAAGAACACTATGTATAATTAATATTGTATGTATATATTGTTAAGTATATATACTGAATTTATAATAATATATCATGTAGAAAATAAAAATAATACAAAACAAAAATATAATATCTTAATCACTTTGTGTTATATTCCATTGAAAACATGAATTTGGCTTCTGTTTTTCAGATACATAATTCTGTATCATGAAAAAATGTCATAGATATTTTAATTTAAAGTTGTATTTTGTTCATTCTTAATTACCTATGTTCATGGTATAATTTATTTCAATTACTTTTTCAGATACATTGGTGGTTGTTCTAAGTGATGATCAATATGCCATCACAAGTGCACTAGAGAAATGTCCTTTGAAAATTAAATATACATTAGTTAGTATTCCATCAGAAGAAGACTGGGGCACAGCAGATTCACTGAAACACATCAGCAATAGAATTTTAAAGACAACAGACATATTAGTTGTACCCGGTGATTTAATTACTAATATTAATCTGAATGATGTCCTTAATCTACATAGAAAACATGATGCCAGTTTGACAACACTGTTCTTTAACAATGGTCCTGAAGAATGGATAGAGCTTCCAGGCTTAAAATCAAAAGTTAAACCAGATAGAGATTTAGTTTGCATCGACAAGGAAACACAGAGATTGGTGTTCTTGGCTAGTGCAAGTGATTTTGAGGAAAGTGTGACCTTACCTAGAATCCTGATGAAACGATTTGACTCTGTTAGCTTATACAGCAGGTTGCTGGATGCCCATGTATATGTTATGAAGAAATGGGTAATAAACTATCTTGTTGAATCAGAAAGATTTACTTCTGTTAAAGGGGAATTCATACCTTACATTGTTAAAAAACAGTTATCAAAGCGTAAAAATCTTAATGATAAAAAAGGTTTGTCAGAAAAAAATTTAGATATAACAGTTGATATTTTTGACTATTCTCTTGAGAATGGTTTTGAGTCTAAAATCAGGGAAATGTCTTCATACAATGAACATAGATCAGGAAGCAAAGGTGTTTGTCACAATGACATATTGAGGTGTTATGCCCATATTCCAAGTAAAAGTACATTTGGCATGAGAATTAACACTCTATCCACATTTTATCTCTGTAATAATAAGGTAATATGCAACTTTATATTATTTTATAACTTATGACTGTTTTTGTAATGATTGCTATAGTGCTCCTGCCTGTGCTGATGGTATATGCTGTCAGGACACCAGTGGAAAATGATAACATGAGGATGAGATACATGCAGTACCCACTGTTGTGAATTCTGTATGTGAAATGTGGGTCAGGACTAACATCAATTTTTTCACACTAAGGCTGATGAGCTAATCCTAAATATTGCACTTCAGGTGTTTCTGCAAGACTGTCATTTCTAAATAGGCATGCTTTGATACAATGGTAAAACAAGTATTTTGTTAAATGTTTATTTCAGATACTGTCAAAATGGGAAGAGATAACGGGTTCACCCCTTACAGAAAGATTTTACTCAAGCAGTGAGGTCAATACTAAACAAATAGATGAGAATAGCACAGTAGGTGATAAGAGTATTGTAAATGAGAAGACATCTATAAAATGTACATTTATAGGAGCAAATTGTGTTATCGAAAATAAAGTGAGGTTGACTAACTGTATATTAATGAACAATGTTATTATTAAAGAAGGGTAAGTAAGAAATTCTGCCTGCCTTCTGATAAATAATGAACTATGGAGGATATAAAATATAAAATTATTTGCCTTGTAAATTGAAATTATTGGGCCTGTTATTTAGTGTCCTAATGTTCATACCGAGTATGCCATGCATGGTGATTGATATAACTCATCTTATTATGCTTATTGTCACACATACTTTTCTATTTCTGAGGGCTCAAACCATAAGTTTCATATTTGTCATGTGGCTGACATGACAAAAATATGAAAAATGCTGCATATGAGTGAGAAGGCCCTATATCTCTTTTTATATATATTATTATATTATTATTTACATTCTGTGTTAGTATAATAATTTCTTAATATAATCTTATACAATTCTTGATGTATATTGTAATATAATTTATTAATAGTAATTTTATTTTGTTTATAGATCCGTTCTACAAGATTGTATCATTTACACAGGCGCTACTGTGGAAGCCAGCTGCTCTATGCAATATTGCCTTATTGGACCACATCACATTGTGTCTTCATCTACTTCCAGTAATCATCAATTACATGCAGAGACTACTGAAAATATGATCACTCTTGGGTGATCGCCAACATTGATGTAATTTAATAATAATAATATACATATTTATTATGTGTACAATTTTTTTGTTAAAGTTGCTATTATATCTAGTTGTCTCTGCCTGGAATCTATAGGAGTGGTTTGCGCTTGGTGTTTATATTTCATTTTTTGTTCATCATACATTGCACATATTTAATAAACCGATATAACATAAGAATACACCACGGACTTTATGTTACATATGCTTAGATGTATGTAGGTACTATGTCATTATTATTATTTAGTATAAAATAAAGTCGCTGTCGCTGTCTGTCCCTATGTATGCTAAATCTTTAAACCTACGCAACGGATTTTGACGCGGTTTTTTTAATAGATAAGAGTTATTCTAGAGGAAGGTTTATATATCTATATAATATATGTACACCCGTGCGAAGCCGGGGCGCGTAGCTAGTGAAACTATAAGTAAGCCGATTCCTGAGGTGGCATAATTTGAAAGTTTTAAAAATAGGAAAATTATTAAATTAAAAATTTTATTAAGTTCATTAGGGACCAGCATAATGTCAATTCGCAATAGCAAAAGGGTGGAGCAGCTATTGGTTTAATTAATTCGTATTTACAATATATGTAAAAACTCGTCCTGTTAAATGTGTTGGATTATATTTAGGGAGGCTGGAGTTTCTCCGTGGACACTAAAGTATACAAATAATTATATTATTTGTTTTCTTTACTTTTAATTTATATGTAGTATTTGGATAGCCGAGACATATACAATATAAAAGTATGTAACAAAACAAAGTTAATCGTCATCAAATGGTGGTGGTGGTGTGATTGATACGTCGTCGAATAGTTGAACGAACACTTGTGATTGCTCTTGAAAACCTGTAGGCGTTGTATCTGAATCCACGTCTTTTGTAGGTAATGGACCTATAAATTCAATGAAAACAGTGTAACCCAATAGTTTAGTCAGAGACTATATATTCTATTTACGCTGTAAGATATACATATATTTTAATAACCTACGAGTGTGGCTTATTTTGAATCGTAACGATAGCAATATTTTGGATAGTTGCATATAAATTTTAAATGTCTAGTAACATGTGGATTCAATTTTCGATATCACTTATATCTACTAGGTACTGTGTGCTATGCTACATTTCTGAATTTCACACGTAGAAGCAATCAGCAGAAGTGGACGTAATCCTAGATAGAGGCAATATCAACTGTCATATATGTAGGTATGTATATAGATATATACGCTGAATATGTTGACTCAAACTTAGTAACGATAACAAACAAACTAAATAGAAACAGCCCCTGTGTTTCTATTTTGTTTGTTATCGTTGTTTCCTTTACTAGAGAGTCAGTCAAAAATATAAATTGGCACAACGTTTTATTGAAGTTAGATACTTTCGAACTCACGATCTTTGGATATTATTTGGAAGAGATATTATTAGGCAACGACGACTTACTATAGGTATGTAATATTATGCTATAGGCTTTCAGTTGTTAAATATCTAATAAACAATTATTGTTCTATTAGTATAAGTTATTAGACCTACATCTATCTAATATAATCTTTATTACCTTGTTCTACTATGGAGTGATCAGGGGTCACCGGTTTAGGCACATTGCATGGCACGCAAGGCTTATTTATATATTCTTCATCGGTTATGTAGGTCTGAAGTAAATACAATTAAGATCGTAGGATTTATACTCCTGAAACTTCGTCGATTCTTACCCAATTTTAAATTATCATAGTGAAAAGGTTCCTCTAACGCGAATGCTAATCCACTGGTTAGCATTAGACCTTTTTTAGCGTTGGACAACAAAACTATACGGATGTAATCAGATCGCTTAGTTTACAGTATTGAAACGCGGTCCCACCTTGAAAGCATCGTTATTAAAATTCATCAGGAATTTGGTTAACTGACCTGACTTTATGATCATCTTCCACTGGTACTACTTCAGCGTGTACCGTTAGCTTAGGCGGGTGCACTATTTCATTATCATTCATACACCGTATCAAATTCTCCTGGAAAAGCAATCATGGCTACCAGGCGATCACGTGTAGGTCAACTCGAATATTGTCTACAATTATTTCTATTTATAAATTTCCTGAGTATCACTTACTTTACCACAAGATCCAACTCCTGTAGTAACTTGCCTCAATACAGGATTAACGATCAATCCGAGTGGAGCACGACATGTTGTGTTAGATAAAATTGTGTGTGATCCACCACAATATCGTTGGCATACATGTGATCTGATGATGATGGATTATATGTACATTATAGATACAATGTAATTTTTCTATTGATAACTATTTGTATAATGATTTTTATTCATAATCTTAATTCTAAAAGATTACCTAGGGTCCCTTGGATGTGGTATTGGCAAACCCGGATAACAAAGTTTGTGAGCTCCATCTTCTTTCATCTTGGTTGGAGCCTCAGCCCCTACTGCGGGTGGTCTGGATATTTTGAAAGCAGGCAACGCTGGTACTATACCAGGTTCTTCCAGGTTCATATGAGCAGGGCTAGCACAAGACAAACATGCTGTTTCTCGATGCAATCTCCTTGAGACAGCAGCGGCTTGTGGCTCTCCAACAATTTCGATCATTGCGTGAAGTCGGCTTCTTAGCTTTTCAAGATTTTTATTCACGTCGTCGCGAAGGGATACGACCTGAATCCAATCTGCCTTTTCATTTAGTTCCCTTACTAATTCATCTATTGCTTTCTGAAAGAAATTATATTTAACTTTACCTATTCAATTCACGTTATGTGCATATGTTTACTTATACATGATCATGCATTTATATCAGATTTATTATATTATATTAAGTGGTATTTGTGTCATTATTCGGTAAGAGTTATTATTATGTCTAACAATTAATTTAAGAAGTATGCAGCCTTATTTCTTAAATTATCTATTTTTACTTTTCCAATAAAATATCACCGAGGAGTAGTAACTATAAATTAGTTTATTCTTTTAAAGGGGCCGTACTTACTGAGCATTTAATATAAACTTACTTGCCAGATAATTTCTTGATTATTGAATTTATCGTAAGCATTACTAATACGTTTCTCAAGGTCTCCTCTTACTGCATCAAATTGCTGAAGAGTAACAAGTCCATTTAATGCTTCAAGTCCAGCTTTATCCTTTAGTGCATCTGCTACCTCATCTCTATCCGATTTTGCAGCTTGTAGTAATTCTATTTGTTTCCATATATCCTAGTAAAACAATCACAATTGTCTATGTTAAATCAAGGTGACCCACTTTGAAAACCTTTGTACCTGTCAGTTATTGAAGAAAATTAAAGTTAGAGTTATATGTGTTGTTTTAAACCGACATATTAAAATAAATAAATTTCTCCAAAAACAAATTAATTGGAATTGATGCACCTCTATCGCTTACAATGAAAATGATATATATATATTAGATATTGCACTGTATAAAAATATACATCTAACACCTACATAAATTGATATATATTGTACCTGAAGGTTTTTGGAGAGCACAGTTTGAACGTCTCTTAGTTCTTTCTGACGTAAATTTGTGGTATCGAGGTCTATTTGAAGATTAGTAAAATGTGTGTTCAGCTCGGCTACAGCTGTAATATTAGTCAATACCATATAATGCTAACAAGTTTTTATTATTATTTTATATATATTTTCGTACTGTACGTGACTAATGTACATGGCAAAAATCAATTGTACATTTGCGTCTTATTTCAAATCTCACCTGTTGTATCACCACCTGTATTAGCTAATGCCTCTGCCATTGTTTCCAGTCCAGTTTCTAAATCATGTTGCATTTGGGTTAACAGTTCTTGATAATTTGTCATCTAATAAATGATTAAAACTTATATTGCTTTACCGAGATATATTTTGTCCAAAGTCGTCTGCGTGAGTAACTATTTCATTTATTCGTATTTTAGCCGCACGAGCAACGCCTTTTCCGAATTGTGTATCAGTTGAAGAATAGCAGTGACATGACAGGATAGGGAGACATTACAACTTATTCCTTTAAAATAGCAACACGTAGGTTGATGCAATACCACGGGAATCACATAACGACGTGATGTCCGTCGTGTTATTTGTGTGGGTAAGCGATCGTTGTCACTTACCATTAGGTGGGTAGTCAGTATGTTGCCACTTCAGTTATTTGAATTACGTAACAATTAATTAATTATACAGTTACCTGTGACGATAAGCCCGTGTCAAGAAAATTTATTTGTTCTGAATATTCGGAGACTAATGTTTCCAGATCATTCATACGATTACCGAGGTTTAATGAAGCATTCAATTTCTCTTCTGCTCACAAAACAAAAGGGTTATAAAAATATAAATTAGGTACTCGAATATATTCAGGCATACTTGTCTTTTATAACACTACGTAGGTAGCTACAATTATTAGATTTACCTAATCCACGTGCCATTTTAAGTGCATTATCGGAATTTACGTTACTTCGAGTTGTCGAACTGGTCACCATCTTGAGGAAATCATCATATATTCTTTGTAAAGCAATTCTAGAAATAATAAAAAATATATGAAAGCTGGGACTGGACCTATGTTGTCATGTATCTATAGAGAAAATGTATTTTCTTCGTGGATACGGACAACAGCTAGGTTGTGATGATAATGCGAACTTATTCCTAACAGGGGATAAGGTTGGTTAGATCCAACAGGACATATATAAATACCTTTACTTATTATATTACACTTGGATACAACAATATATAACATAATACAATATTATATGTATAGTTACCGACCCTAAAAAAAGATGAAACCCCATCTAAAGGCTGAGAGTACATGTATGCTAGAGATGGTCACAATGATAATGTGTTTTATACTATTTACGTACAGTCCTAATGAAAATGAATTTAAGATGATATTTAATAGATTACTCTAATTCCTGAGCAGTAATTTTGTCTTCAGTTGGAACTTCTGTAGCTACGTATTCCTTTGGGTGTGAGTATGATGTAACTGTAGGAACCAAGGATTCTGTAGAGGGGACTGAGTTGTATTGTGCTGTACTTTTGCTCAGGTTTTCTGTCGGTTGAACTGTATACTTTTTAATCCTGGATGGCGATATTTGTGACAATATTTTAGGGGCGCCAAACAGAACTTCGGTGTCTGCTTCCACGTCATGGGTCTATGAAAGTGTCAATAATAGACTAAATTAGTTCATCCACCCTTTTACAACATACATCAATACACAATCGGAAAGAGTAACCTGACCTCATCGAGCAATCCTTCAAAACCTGGAGTTCTACTGGCGAGATCTGTTACTAATGAAGTCATTTTTTGCAACGTCTTTTCTGCACCTTCAAGACGAGCAGAAAGTTGTAAGGCTGCCATAGCATCTGTCAAAGAGGCGCCCTTACGGAGGTCTTGCATAAGTTTAATATTATCTGGAAATTCAGCTCCGGCGATAGGTCCAAACCGGTCTTGAAGTTCACGAACTATTGTAGCTAATTCGGCGAACTCTTCCTGTGTAACTATTGATAACTGGGGAGTACGACCACGGCTGTCTGTTCCATAACGTCCTGTAGATGTAAAATTTGTAAAAAAATATGGAGTAGATAGGACAAAAAAATGTATTGAAGTCACAAAGTACCGAATTCATTAAATATTTAAAGTAGGTATGGTGACTTACCATTGACAGTTTTTGCTTCCTCAGTGGGCACTCTCTGCACTGAGTAATAAAATTTAATATAATATTGTAATTGAATATATTTCAATATGAGACGTGATTTCACAAAATAAGACACTTACCAATTAGCAATTTTTCGTATTGCATTTCTGTGAACAGGAAAAAACTATGTTTTGCTACTGATAGAATTACTACCTAAGTAATTTATGTGTACACAACAAGTAGTAAATTATACCCATAATGTCCAAAGAAGCCATAGGTGTAGGGGTTCTTTCTTGTACTTCTCTAGAATCCGCTCTCTGTATATAAATATTCCTGATTATTCCTACTTGTGGAAAATACTTAATACGTTATTGTACCTATTCATTATTTATGTCAAATGACTACGATGTCCTCAAACTCATATCTACTGAATAAGTATAATAAGGATACCTAACTTATTTTTTCTGTAATAATAAAGTGGACCAGTACCAGTAATACAGTGGTACCTAAGCCCTAATAACTAAAACAGTATCATCGAAACGGTTACAGATTTGGCAAATTAACAGAAAATATACATACAAAATAGCTATACTTTCAAGAGATCTCTGTAAGTGGAAACACAAAAGATTGAGTGTTCGACATTTAATATTATTATATAGATCCATGGAGATCTCAGGTACTAATAGAAAAATGAACTTACCAAATATATTAGGATCGCCCAAAAATAATTCACTGAATAAAAACTGCTTAAATAAAATATATAAATCCTAGTAGCTGCAACATTGTTAAAAAAATACTAAAATAAAAATCCACAATTAAAATATTCCACCTGGTGAATAACACGTAATTCTTTCTCTCTTCTTTCTTCGATTTTCTCCATCAACTTGTGGTAATCCTGTGACGAATGCTATTAACTACATTATTATGTTATTTATCGTCAACTATGTATTACAGGAATAATTAAATGACTTGTAAAATTGCTATTATACATTTATTATAGTACAAACCTTGTCAGAGGATGTTGTATCTTTGGAAGAAGATTTTTGTGTAGATATTTTATTTGAAGGTTTTTCTGTACCCCTTTGTTCGGATGACCATTTATCACTTCTTTTATCAGATAATAACTTTTCAATATTACTGTCTTCAGTTGATTTATTAGAAGATTTATCTGTATAATATTTGTCTGTAGAAGATTTGTCTGATTTAGACTTCCCTGATGATGTTTTGCTGTTATCTGTAGACATTTTGTCCTTTGATATTTTATCTGATATGGCTCTATCTGTAGCAGCTGTTATATTGGTAGTTTTATCTCTAGTAGATGAATCTGTAGTTGATTTCGTAGAGCTTTCAGTTAAATTTTCATTTAAAGGTGCCCTTAAATTACTGGATTTCGTGGTAGACATTTTAATAGAAGTTTTATCAGCAAAAGTCTTTATAGTAGAAGATTTCTCAACAGAATACTTTTCAGGAAAAGACTTCTCAATAGAAGATTTATCAGTACCAGATTTGTCAGAAGCAGACTTGTCAGAAGTAAGTGGCTTATCAGATCCTTGCAAAGTTTTATCTCTTTGACGTTTGCTATCAATTTGTCCTCTAGTGCCTTTATTTAATATGGCTTTACTAACTAGTCCTGCAGTGCTAATTGAGCCCACTTTACCTCCTGCAACACTACTAACCATTTTTGCCAAGCGACGTTTCTTTTTAGGCACTTGAGCATGTAGTTTTACTTCCGTAACTGAGAGACTGCTACTAGATTCCATTTCCATATCAGGAACAATTACAATTTGTACTCGCCTCTCTAATACTCGTAATTGTCTAGCAAGAAGATAAAGAATCGTCTGGATTAATTTGTGATTTACAATATTTACCTGTAATAATAGAACAAAATAATATTACTGTAATGAACATAGATTAGTATTTATCTTATAATTTAACGTGATTACTCTAAATTTAAATTATCTCAGTTAACCTTCCTTTTATATATTGTATATACCGCAGGCGACGGTTGTTCAGCCATCCGTAAACCAAGTTCTATATAAGCTGTGTTTCGGTTGGGGGATGTGATATTGAAGCGAAATTATAGAACACGGAGGCTTAAATCTCAACGCATAACAATATGATAACGTTATTCCTATGGTGCTCATGGCGTCAGTTGCCACTTGTGATCAGAATCTGTCAGTTTGTTTGCTACTTTACTGATCAAGGTCTGATGTCAGACCGATGACCGATCATGTAGATCCGAAACTATATATTTACGTATATAAAAAGCGGAACATAATTATAACGCCTACCTGCATTATGAGACAGAGGTAGGAATATGAGGATCTTATAAACTATACAATATGCCCTTAAAACATATAGAAAATTCTAACATACTTCAGAATCTCCAAAAGCTATGTCAATCATGTCTCTAATACTCATTATACTTGTGGTAGAAGAGGATGTCATGACGAATATATTTTTAAGACGATCTGCAGATAACTGATCACGTTTTACTTAGGTATTACTTTAAATTGCACGTGATAATCAAGTAGGCTTCTCGTTACAATAGGTGTCAAACAGAAAACTAAATTAATGACATTATTTAAATATAATGATTAGCGAAATAGTTTAAATATCTTGTATATATTTGAAATTATTAATATTGTAAAGTTTGTGAATACGGATGGATGTTTGTTACTCTTTCACGCAAAAACTACTGAACGTATTTTGATGAAACTTTACAGTAATATAGTTTAAACATCACAATAATATTTAGGCTCTAAATATTACGCGGGTGTAACCGCGGGTACAGCTAGTATACTACAAAATAACGACGTGCATTTCATAATTGCTAAACACAAATGTATATCTACGAAGTGCCACTTTAAATGGCAATTTTAACATATTGCAACATCTGTGTGCATAATGCACACATATTAGTCGTAAACATAGGCTGATAAGTGATCTCACCAAATAAATTCTGTAGTAGATATTGCAGTCTATTACGGATATTGAATGTAATATTGCTGCCTTAGTAAATATGGAATATGATCGTACATATTTGTCAATGCAATATACCAACCTTTAAGACGGCCTCTTCAAAACTGTATCACAAAGAAATCAGAGTAGGTAGATAATGTTAAAGAATTGTGGAATAATAAAACAATACATACAATATAGAAACAATTTATATTTGATGATATTTACAAAAGAAAAAAATGTTGAATTATCGTCTTATATAACAAAAACGATATTGAATTTTAAAGTATACATTCGTAGCCATAACATATTTTCTTATTATATTTACAGCAATCATAATTCGCTATACTATATAAATATTACATTATTAACATTAAACGATCGAAATCTGTCATGAGCAGACCAGTTTGGACACAATATGAGAATCATTTAAATATAAACAATTGATGAATTACAATTCTTATATCGTCCCAAAAATTGTTATAAAATTCACTACCTATCTAAATATGATACTATCTATCTACATTTTAAAGTGAGCTAATATTATTTTAGGCACGAGTCCGACAGTCAGAGGAGCGCGAGGTGGCGCAGGCGGGCGCCTGGAGGGGCGGCGGTGGCGACAAGGAGGTGGCGGTAGCGGGAGACGCCACGCCCGCGCCCTTATTTTGACTAGAGATTGTCTGCGCTGCAGACGTCGGCTTAGGCTGTTCTAATTGACCAGATTCAGATTCATTATGATGGTTACTGTTATTAATCAGATCATTAATTGATTTTCTGTCTTGATTTCTAAATTTATTTCGATCTTGGGGCACTAGTATTGCTAGGGGTGGAATGGGTGGTATATAAGCATGAGGTTCATAATTATCATCTACGTAGTCATTTGGATTCCAAGATGGCGTGTTCGTCGTAGTAAACGGAGTTGTTGATGGCCTTTCAGTCGTAGTTGCTCTCGATGTTACAGGCGCCATGGTAGCCGTTGTTTTATCTCCCGCTAATTCGGAGGATATAGTCGCAGTATCAGGAACTGTAAAAATCTTTCTGTAGGATCTATTCTTTCGACGCTTTTGTAGTTTTGGGACATCAAGAAAGAATGGGTCAAAAAGTAGGTCTGATTCTTTATAGTCATCGTAATTAATCTGTACAATTGGTTTTACAGCACTAACCACATTGCCCACAGTATAGTTTAGTCTTTTACCATTACTGTCACTAACCGATGCACTAGCAGTGACTATTACACGAGGTGGACTTTTTGGTTTCGTTGGAGGTCTTTCATTAACAGTTGGAGGTGCAACGGATCTAGGTGACAGCGAAGATTCATCTTCTGGTATTGAGTCGTCACTTCTTTTGCGGTCATAATAGAAAGTATTAAATGGCAACGGACGCTGAGGTGGCAGTGACGAATATGGCTTATGTTTTACAGATGTTTCATGTCTTTCTGAGGATTGGAATGTAGGTCCTGGACGTAATAACTGATCACGGGGATCCAATGTTGTAGGTCGAAATGGTGCGGGCTGCGGTCGTTGAACAAAGGGAGATGGTCGAGATACTGCTGGTCTAGGCGCTGTTCTCGATGACTCATACTGAAAATGGTCGAACTGTTGGGGAGGTGCGTGTGTTATATAAACACCATCAGCCGGCCTAAAGCTTTGCCTTTGGAAGGAAATTGCTTCTGAACCAGGACCTCTGTGACGATAGATAAATTCTTGCGGAGAAAGAAGAGAAGGATCCAATGTAGATGATATCGAAGAATATGTAGGTGGTGATAATGATGACAGAGTAGGTGATGGCGAAGAAAACAAATGAGTTGTAGGAGATGAGCGAAATGATGTACTAGGAGAAGAAAAAATCGTTGTTGTTGGTGGTTTCGTTGTGGTTGTAGTAGTGGTGGTTATTGTTATTGGACGTGGTGTTGATATTGTTGTTGTTCTTATTGTTGTTGTGGTAAAATGTGTTGTAGTAGGTGGCGAGTGCGGGTAGTCTTCATATATGCTATCGTCATCATCTTGATATTCTGAAAAGGTAACGGAAATAAATAATCAGTGATATAATTACAAGAGAAAATTCTGTTTATGTAGTAAAGTGAAAGTAAATTCTAGATGTAGTAACTCTGCTAGCGATTATATATCACTTTAGGAAGAAATGTAAAATATTAGTATGTTAGGTATGACGTATACCTAAATTAGAATAAAGTAGTCAAGTGCTAATCTAATCTATTTATAAATGTAAGTTGTTATGTTACATCTTACGTCTGCAAATAGTCGATTAGTATTAAGACGATTTGTATACTAAGATATTGTGTCTGATACTTTTAATTAATAGACGGAGTAATAAAGTAAAACGTAATATTCAGTTAACTCTATTATATATATGTGACATAACTTCTTATATCTATAAATAGAGTTAGCTGAATATTACGCTGCTTAGAGTTTACATTTTAGACAGATCGAGATCGAATGAGCGATGTAACTTTGAAATGACATACGTATTTCGGCAATATTTTAAATATATTTTATTTGTCTTATTAACGAGTGATAACATTAAAAATTTAATAATTATTCTAACTTATAACATAAATCCTAGGTTCCAGGTATAGGACCTCCATTATAGTTGCCATTATCTAATAAGTGATTAAATTTTAACTCTGGGATGAACGGCTCAATAACAGATTGAATTATACTTGACTAATTATTTATTAGCGATAATTTAAGGAACTTCTCTGAGTGTGGCCGTTAGTACACGAAAAACATTATCATCTGATATGATTTACATAGGTGCTGGCGTCGGAGAGGTTTAAAAGTAATAGTCTGTCGTGGTATGGGCTTATAATGCGTAGTAATGAAGATAATTTGGTAAGAAAGGGAGAAAATTACGATATGACTGCGAACAGGGATGAATCGAAGAGAAATACATATTTGCCGACCCCAAATAAATGGGATATGGAAGAAGTAAATGATGACTGTTTACAATGCCGAGGAGAAAAAGATTTAACATAGGTCGTCGAAGTCAATCAAATGTGAAACGAGCTACCTCACGCGCTAACCGCACTGAGGACCAGTATTGGGGTAAGCTAGGGTACTTATTACTACTTTTTTGCGCAATTAGGACAGGTAAATCTATTGTTCTACTGTTCTAGCTACTTTATACAAAAGGAACAATGCATTTTTAAAAGTCAACTATAACTTCTGAAAAATAGTTTTGTAAATATCACTGTACTGTCTGGCCCCAACCTTCACTTCCCTAGGGAGGTGAAGGTTGGGGCCTCGGGGAGCGAACCCCTTTATCCCAGCGTCTATTCCGGGGGCAAGAACCTACCCGTATCTGGCTCAAAGGCCCTAGGGCGTAAAATAAAAATTATTAAAAAAAAACTTAACCTAGCTTAATAAACGTAGTGCCATACTTGGGGACAGTTCTTTTGTTATTTTTTTAAAATATCAATTAACTGTTGGAAAAATCGGTGACAGTGACACGGTCAGTCAGTTTTGCCAGGTCCCTATACTACTATTATCTTATTTGTTAACATAAGTGACAATAATGTGACATGAACATTATTATTTATTTATTCATTATTATTTATTATTTGTTTATTCTGGACATGTATAAATGATTTTGTCCACTATCGAGCCAATATATAGACTACCTCATGATGCCTTTATTAAGCTTCTCGTTCTAAAATACATAATAATATGGTTAAAATTAAGAGGTAAGTGATACGAAGTTCACTGGGTCATCTAGTACAATATATTAATTTACACTACATTAGATAAAAAGATATTATAATTTAAAATATTTAATAATACCTTCGGTTAATTCTACATTTTCTGCAACTTGAATAGGTTGATATGTGGGTCGATTATGGTGAGAAATTTTTGGTTCATCTTTTTTTATTTCTTGAATGGGATCTTCGGTAGTATCTGCAACATCTAATGATTGATTCTGTGTTTTACTATTCTCGTGTGTTGTAGAGGTAATTTCGTCTATTGCTATATTAACATTCTGTTCATTAGGGGTTTTGGTTTGTTTAGATTGTTCGGTTGACTCAGCTTCAGATTTTTCTTCATCTGGTTGTATTATAGGCGGTGCTGTGCTGCCATATAATTCTAAATTTAAACTGTAAAACTTTTCAGACTTTGTACAATCTACTTCATCTACTCTCTCACAGACTCTAGTCTCCTGTAAAAGAAATAAATTACGGTCAATATACATGAATAATCTGGAGGTATGGTAGTAAATAAAATATGTATGTCTTATCTGTAAAACTATTTTTGTCTGCAAGACATAGACATGTAAAATATTTACATACAAGATACTGACACTGCTATATTCGAAATAATAATATTATTAACTACTGATAATGTTTCGCACTGATAATGTACTCGTATGTATTTCGAATAATAATAACGATAAAGGCAATCCTCTTATTAAATATTATGTATTTATAAAATATCCCTGTATATTTTATTAACAGATTATTATCTACTAAATGAGTCATTAGCAGTCCTAACGTTGAACAGTCCATATATTTTAGTCAACTCTAGTTTTCCAAGTTTCGGTCGCATAGTTAAGTGCTCTACAGTATCTTGGTTAGAAACAAAGATCATATCTTGAGAACCTCGGTGGTGTAGCGGTTTAGTGCCACTTAATTACAGATGGGCGCGGGTTCGATTCCTTGGATTCCTCGTTCGGTTCCTGTTTCCTGAGAGGAAACATTTGTATTCATGAGTATAATTGTTTATGATATTTTGGTGCAGGTGTTTTCTATATATATTGTGGATGAGTTTACAAAAAAAATATTAAATTGTTTCTAACTATTTCTATCCATTGTAGAGTATCTATAATACAGGCTCTGCTTACCTTGGGACTAGATGATGCTGTGTGATTTGTCCTGTATTATTTTTATTATAATATTACATTGCCGATTTAAAAGCAATTTAATAACAGTTGCATATTACATTGATCACTGATAAGATCTGTTATAGAGCCATTACTTAAGTAGTTGTGTTAGTACGTCAATATGGTTGATGGAGCAGAATTAAAATAATGAAGTTAAATATGCATGCTCTTTTTATGTAATTGGAATAGTCAACAAGTTTACAGCGTGTTTGATAATAAATGGTAACCGCCGCCTATACATATGAACAGCACTACGGACATCAACTTAATATGTGATGCCCGTGATTTAAGACAATGATGTTTTTACAACCGATCAACCAATAGCTTGTAAGCTGTGTTGTGATGTAAGCTGCTTGGTAGCTGAAATGGAGAGACTTAGATACCCTTGCAGCCGACTTCACAAAGTCTACCTTGGTAAAAAATTTACAGTTTTCCTTTGCAAAATGTTTATATCAAATTTAATAAATTGTTGGCTTATATGGGTTTTCGTACTTGATCAAAGACTGTGCCATTGAGACAAAGGAACTTGATATCCATAGGTTCGTCCTGCTGACCCACAGTGCACACGTGGAACATTTGGCAGGATGTCTCCAGATCGGCGTAGTAACCACCGATCACCTTCCCCGCACACGTGAAGTTTGTTTCAGGTAGGTTATCGAAGTCTAAATACTGAAATTATTACATACTTTATATAAAAAGAATGACAATTCCTTTAACGAAGATTAAATAACAGTTAGTTTTGATTTCTACTCAAATTTTAATAGTTATTTACCTACACATTTCTCCGAGCCACATCTTATTAATATTATAAACGTGAAAGTTTGTTAGTATGGATGGATGTTTGTTACTCTTTCACGCAAAATGTACTGAATGGATTTTGACATCAGAACAATACATAGGCTATAAATATCATGCAGGTAAAGCGCACAGCTAGTATGAAAATACTCAATTGTAAATAAAAAATTGTTAATAGTCTGTAAAATATATGTAAGTCAGAAATTTATAAATGTTGCGTAAAAAAAAATTCTTTCATTTTAGAAGAAAGTAAAGTATAGTGTGTTTAGGATATGATTTAAATGCATTTTATTTTCGATTCATTAAAGAGTAAATATAAACTCATATAAATGACATATTTTCTATTAGTTTTCAATGTATGTAAAATATCTAATTAGGTACTAGCAGACCACGCAACATCTGTGTCACTTCTCATCGAAGGCCGGAACACGATGTTATATAACATTCGATAAATGGGCTACTGAGATAAATATTTTTATTTAATTTGAACCAAATAGGTACTAAGACTAGAGCGTTCAAATAAACAAACTCTTCAGCTTTGTAATATTAGTAAAAAATATACTTACACCTGGCTTAATAGTTCCGGATATTTCTTTGATTTCGTTTTGAAATATAAATATTAACAGCCATAGCCATACTGAAATATATAAAATATGGTTATTTAATTTTTTCAACTTTCAACACACTTGACTGTGAAGTGGATCTAATTTTGGTTGTTTACAATAGTACACACTATAAACGAGATATTTCACATAATAATATTAAGAGTTCCCGATTTCCATGCTGTATTAACACCTTGGTTATAGGTTGATTCTTAACGTCTAATATAAATACCTCGTTAATATAATGTATAATTATACGTATGAATAATTTAATAAATAGTGTAAGTAATAATCCAAAATATATGTTTTTTAGATGTCCAAAAAGTTTTTATTCCGTTCGTTCTGATTTAGATTTATTAATTCAATGTTTTTTTATTTAATTCAGATATTTGTATTTTTAAGATGATTTCATATCAAACTTGTAAAATTTTATTGATCAATTTAATTATTGTAGATACTTTTTTATCTGTTCATATTCCGTGCTTCGCTGTGTGAATTAAAATAAGTATAATCCTTTGTTTAAAATATTTTACGAATGTTATGGCCCCGTTTAATTACTATTTTATGTTCGTCCTTTGTAGGCATAATTTTATAATGTAATAAACTCGTATTTAAAAGGTCTGTTATATATAAATTGATTTCGGAGATATGTTGTACTGTCGTGATATAGAAAAGTATGAAAATACCTTGCAGTGCAGAGGCGGAGCGCACGACCAACGCGCCGCCAGTTGATATCCGAGCCTGTCGTCGCATCTGTAAATCAAATACGTGAAATTAAAATTAATTAAATAATAATCTAACCAAATGTTCCCAATCATACATTCTTTGATCATAATTTAATAACAGGCCGCGCGAACATAACTATTAATATCTATTAGAACAATAGTCGGGTCGTGCCATTCGCACGCGAATCAAAGCTGAACAATAGTCTCACTACAATTATCCGTCCACAATGAATTGTTCCGATATACCTCATCCAAAATTACATAATATGACAATTAAATATTTCGATATAAAAAGTGGTCTACTTTGAATAATTGAGGAAGTAGTACATGAGATTGTGCTAAATACTTGTAGTATTTATTTATATTATTTAAATAGTTAATTTGAAGATAAGAGCGTGAGATATGTCAGTGAAATTATGTGGTATTACAGTGAAATTATGGGTCCTTAAGTTAGTTCCTAGAAATGGTCACATATGAGACATGATTACGTAGCGGTTGAAAGCATTATCTCCACTGCAACAGAGCCTGAGTAACATTTTTACTACCTAATTGTAATGTATATGGACAAGTTGGGTAATTATCAATCATGTGAAGAGAGATAGATTGGCTCTACCGATTTCTTAACAAATCTTATAGTTCGTATACTGCTAATATTAACAGACAATTGGCTTTATTAATTAAGGTTTGTTAAGTATACCCTAATGACACATTGATATTGATGATAATCATCTTACTATTCATCATAAAAATATATGCCAGCATGACTTTCATTTGTGAAAATTTTACTACATGTAAGTCTTAATTTTACTCTTGTCAATCAATAACAAAACAATTCATTATTTTTATATGTCTTAGTATTACATATGGTTATTGGAATGTCATTATTTTACTGTAATATGAATGCCTTTCTAATTATATTATTATTTGTTGTTCTCTATTCAACACTTCGTCAGTACATCATATCATAGAAAGTATCTTTAGACTTAATCAATCCCTTTATATGCCAAACCATTAACAAGACCATTAAAGTGATGTAACAGCCATTTAAATTGTAACTCAATACAGTTATCCAATTTATAGTGATAGTGTAGTAGATACGTTCATATGCACTTGAGTACCTATCATCATTCATATTTAGTAAGAAATCGTTTTAGAAACTTGTACGGTTACACTTTCATATATGTACATAGATACTGTAATCAATATGTTGCATATTTGAAGTATTATAAATATTATTATACCATTAAGTATTTATTGTTTTATGATGTGAATAATAAAATAGATAACCTTTAGAAGATATATGTATATATATTGGACTACCACCTACTAGGTATGCATGTGCATTATGAAAACTGTATGATCTTCACTATTTTAATGAAATTATAGTTTATAACAGCAATACCTATTAAATAATCAAATGTAACCTTTGTTAATATTAAATATTATTTAAATAATGTCAATACAAATACTTACATTATACTTGTGCAATGTATCAACTTCTAGACTTTTGTTGGAGAGGAATACGATTACCAGTTGATCAAACAAAGGGCAGTAATTTGTGAGGTTATATAACATATTGATTATCTACTAGGTATAACTTATACATAAAGGCAAAACGTAGATTTTATATCTATTATTTCATTTGAGATAATGTTTGTTGACTTGGTTATTTTGTAATAAATACCGCAAAATGTTGCTAACTACACATAATAGTGGTGAATGTTATTCGATATCGTGAAAGCTGTTGCAATCAGTAGCTGTTGTGTCAGAGAGTCCTAGGGCGTGGTTTCCTCGTAAGACTGAGCCGGTGGACCGGCACCAAACTGGAGCAAAACAGCGAGACAACAGTAATGGCTTGTGCACACGCAACAAAACCTCGGACTTCGACGCTGCCCACGGCTTGATTATTAGATATGTCTCAAAATTTAGAACTACGCATTTAGATATAATTACTCGTATATTATTTATACAACGATGTCACAATTGCAATTAATGTCACTCCTTACAACCTCCATACAACACCCTCCACGACTGACTATTGAGTTAATTAAATGTTTATTTAAAGTGCCAAATGGTAATAAAACTATTTTCGTAATCTAGATGTAAGTTTGTGTTAAGACGTCTTTTAAGTAGAAATAAATTAATTAAAATTTTCTCTCAAATTATAATCAGAGCCCTTAGAAAAATAAGGTAATACTATAAAATGTTTCAAGGAATTGTTACTTATTGGGCTGACACTGGCCTTCTTAATATTTGTAAAATGAGTAATTTTTGGAATTACAAATAAGCCTTACTTTAAATAAGGCTTAGTTCTACAAATAGTTTTGATTAACTTTTCTTTGTCTGGTTAGCGAATATACATCGCTGAGTATTTTTATTAACATCACTTTTATACATACAATTTTACGGAGGAGTGCCCCCCTAGTCGGCGAGATGTTTAGATGATGTCCGTCTGTGTGTATTCACTATATTACTAGCTAATATTATGTAATAAAATGAGATTTGTATGTAATAAAGTAGGAATATGATGTCCATGTCGTGCTTAAAGATCGTCTGTAATTTAGCCACCTATTGAGAGAAACGTGACTGTATACTCAACACAGAATGTAGGTTCTGTCTTAGGTATAGTCTATGATGTTACCTGATGATTACAATATTAGTTTATAACATAGAGTGTGTATTTTAATGTATTCAATTAAAGGTGTTAGTTGTGGATTTTGAATAGAAGTCTATATTCTGTTGAATATGGTGTTAACATAATAATACACAAATATATAATTGAAGTAGGTACACTTCAGAACAAATAAAGAAATTCAATTACATTCACATGAAAATACAGTTGTAATGTGATACCGATATTTCTTATATGGTCTTAAAATCCTGTTATTAATTAAGAAATATACCTATACCTAGGTACAGATAATACCTATAAAACACAATAGTTTGCAATAGGCCTGTAATTGTACCTTGTAAGTAAATCTTGTATTCATTAATAGACGAAAGAGAAACTCATAACAATGCTACAAATATCTTGGCATGTTTTGTAAAAAAGTAATTAGAGATCTTGTTAGAAGCAACAAGAATGAGGAATAATTTTATCGAGTTGTTGCCTAAACTAACAATTATTATTCTATTTTTAACAAATAATAGTTTGTGTAAAATAGTAAGCGCAATCAAAAGCAGCAAATATAACAAATCTATTGTAGACTATATAAATATACATATTACTTTTAATGTTAATTTTTTATTTAAAATATAAAGAAAAAATACATAGTTGGATAAGATAAGGTGAAAAATAGGCACTTTTCTGCCTGAAATCTAATACTGTAGGTCGCAGCTGGCCTTTATAATTTAACGAGGCAAATGCAGAGGGCACTTCAAACCCGACCAACATCGATGTCGTAGTGAACGCAACAATTGACTTGTTCACCTTTTTCTCGGTATATTTGTATCCAAATTAGTAGGAACATATCGCCGCCCGTCAAATGAATTTTTAGGTGTTTCATCAATATTTCCTTCACTGGAGAGTCTGTCCAATATACAAATTAAAACATTTTTTTTACGCCGCGGGCGGCGTCGCGTCGTCCTTCCAAAGGTCTCATGACCGTTTTCACAACTTACACCAAGTTATGATAGGAAATCACTACACCACGACGCTCTGGTTCTCTTTATAATACCATATGTATTAAAGTGAAACCAAATGAATGTAATATATCGTTTTACAGATTACATACATTACAAATATTAAGTAGGCCTGTTTTAGTGACAGTGGCTATCTCATTTACAGAACATCGATTTAAATCTTTGACGACGGAATGTTTATTAGTTTTATAAACAATATCATTCAATCCATCTTTGTTATTAATAATGTTAACCATTATCAGTGTTGTATAATGTCTTAATAGTGAATGATTCATAAGACTCTATGGAGGCTGTATCTATTACAATAATAGTTTTGTTGTGTTAGGTAACTTAAACACTTACGGAATGTATTGGATAACAATCGATAACTGGAGCATTTTTTATAGTAATGTTTATTATTATTATGTCATGCATGATTGAGATATTTTTAAGTGACTTTAAAATAATGAAGCTTCTCAAGTCGGCTTGTTTTGTTTTAATCACGATGCGTGTTTACACAATATCTTAACCCAACCTTGAATGATTTTGATAACACTTTTCTTATATTTACCTATATAGAGGTACTATGCGTTCGAGTTTTTCGAACTTCTAATTATGATTATAATATTTCTATAATATATTACACTATATAGTATTTCTACTAGGTACAGATGAAGGTAGTAGTCAAAAAAACAATTTAATTATTACAGTTAAAGGACCATCTTTTCTCTCCATTAAAAAAAAAGTGAAATCTTCACGGGGCGATAAACATCTGTTTATCGGCTTGAGAAATTAGGATGTCATTTGGAATGAATATGTAATAATATATTTCGTGAAAATGTCACGTAAATGTCCATGCGAATGAAGTCGCGGGGACCACCGCGTTACAATAATATAACATAAAAAACATACTGTGTAAAAAAACCGCAGGCTCATTTGTAGTAAGGTAAGCGTGGCATAGTAGATAAGTGTATATATGTATTATTATGTATATTTGTTCTACGATGAGGACACAAGGTTGTAACGGGTCATAATAATGCGCAAACGTGGACCGTTATATCATCAAGTGTGTCGCGTCGCGTATAACTATAGCATATGGCATGGATGTCAACTGTACGAAAATCCTCGTATAGTATGAGGTTTTTGGATTTCAGTATGTGGACATTTTTACCGTCGTATATTATTTATTTTAATTTTACATAATAAATTAGATTTTTTATTTCTTGGTATGAGGATAAATATTTTAGAGCTGCACTTTTTAGCCCACCCCTCTTATGTATAACGTGTCGATATGAAAATGTTCTACAATAACTAATTAAATTTGTTGAAATTTAGTCCATTGGATAAGGCAACTAATATTAACGTTAACACTCAGATTCTAGACAGAGTCAGATCGCCTTCAAACAA